CAATACTTGGAAGCAACCTAAGTGCCCATCAAAGGACGAATGGATAAAGAAGCTGTGGTATATATACACAATGGAATACTACTCAGCCATAAGAAATGATGAAATCCAGTCATTTGTGACAACATGGATGGACATTGAGGGTATTATGCAAAGTGAAATAAGTCCGAGGGAGAAGGTTAAATACCGTATGATTTCCTTCTTTAAGTAGTAGATAATAACAACAACAAACAAACAAACACACAGAGACAGAGATTGGATTGGTGGTTACCAGAGGCGAAGGGGGGAGGGAGGAGGGTGAAAGGGATAATTCAGCACATGTGTGTGGTGATGGGTTGTAATTAGTATTTGGGTGGTGAACATGATGTAATCTATGCAGAAATAGAAGTATAATGACGTACACCTGAAATTTATACAATGTTATAAACCAATGTTACTGCAATAAACAAAAAATTTTTTAAAAAAATGCTGTGTGCTTAATTACACTGTAAAGTCTGAATTTTTAAAAATAAAATTCTTCTAACAGAATATCAATTCACATACCTCACAAAATGGATTATGGAAACAAGAGAAAAATCATTCTTACTGGCATGAAATAATCCAAAACTACTTTTCTAAAAAAACTGCTATCACTGGAACCCAAGGGAACATAACAAATTTAACAGAAATAGATAGACAGTCATAGAAAAAAGGATCATTTTTAACAGTTTTTTGAGACATATATTATTTTAAAATGAGAAATTAAAGCTTAAGGTACGTCATGAAGCCCATATGTCACGAAGGTAAAATTTTATTCAGAATTTTGATAGAATAATATGACTATTGTGAAATGAACCACACTTTGGCCAATGATGGCAGGAAAAACAAAAACTAACAAAAGCAAAAATATTATTATAAGAAATTTAAGGATGCAATATCCCAAAATATAATATATGTACTAAAATAAAAATTGTAATACTAGGAAGATACTAGGAACAACAACTTAAAAAAATTTTTAAAGGAAGAGATAAATCTGTTATTTATTGAGAAAGGTACTTGATTATACAAATCAGTAGGCAGTTTTATACCTGGACTCCCATAATTAACAGTGTGCTAAGAAAAGAAACTAGAGCGCCTCTTTTTTTTTTTTTTGAGGAAGTTTGGCCCTGTGCTAACATCTGCTGCCAATCTTCCTCTTTTTTTCTTTTTTCTCCCCAAAGTCCAAGTACATAGTTGTATATCACAGTTGTAGAGTTGTAGTTCTTCTATGTGGGAGGCCACCTCAGCATGGCTTGATGAGCGGTGAGTAGGTCCACGCCCAGGATCCAAACTGGCAAACCCCGGGCCGCTGAAGCGGAACACGCAAACTTAACCACTACACCACTGGGATGGCCCCTAAAGTGCCTCATTTTTAACCATTCCATCTAATAATTTAAAATGTTAATACAACTCTGAAAGAAAAATGATAGATAAAAAATTAATGTAACAATAGGAACTCAGCCTAAATGGTAAGATCAAGATTAAACTGACTGATCACTTTCTGCATCTCTCATTCTTACGTTCCTTGATCAGGTACCTGGCCAACTGAACATGCTCATTAAAGGTTTTCTGAATTGCTGTATGGAAGGAAGGGAGGGAAGAAGGAAGGAAAAAAGTAAGAGTAATAATCATAAATGTCATCTAGATAGTTATTTTCAAACTTTAGTCTGCATAACAATAACACTTAAGAAGTCTGCTTAGCCCAACTCCCTAATTCTAATTCATTAGCTCTAGGATGGATCCAAACTCTACATTTCCACAAACACCCCAGGTGATCCTGATGAAAGTAATCCATGGGCTCTAGAACACCGTTTCCAAAGCTGGTACTACACAATACTCTATGCTACAATAAAAAATGCGTCTTGAAAAACCTGCTCTTTGATAAAATAAGCTAGGAAAAAGGATAAATAAGGAAAAGTAATCATTTTTCTAAGCAGTGGTATTTCTCAGAGCTTCAATATGCATTTGAATTCCCCCAAGAGACAAAACAATCAAACTATATTTCCTAAAATTATTGGCCATGAAATCCTTTCTTGTGTTTTATCCACCAATATCTACAAGAAGACTAAAACTTCTACACAGAAAAACTAGAGACAAAGAATAAGAGGAAAGGAACTGGATTAAATTAGAAAATTTAAAAGCTTCCTTATAATTCTAGGCTGGAGAAGCAGAGAGGCAAATTAGAAAAAAATAGGATCCTCTTTTATCTTAAGTAATACTAAACTGTGGGCACATAAATGTCACTATAATATTTTCAACATTTCCTTCTATATGATAACTCCGAAGTCAAGAAGATAATACTGGTCCTAAAGAATTTTTTAAACAATAAACTCGAAAAAAATGTGTCATAAGCGGATAATCTTTGTAGGCATAAACATATGAAGTAATAATAGCTTTTCTCTAAGATTTTAAGATAGCTGCAGATATTGGCATCAAACAGTTACAGAAAATATTTTAGAAACACAACTACCAGGCTTATTTAAAAAAGGAAAATTCTCTCTAGTTCATTTGTAAACAAGATATATTTGTGAAGACTAAAAAGTGTTTTAAACTAGTGGGAATTATAAATAAAACTATTTCAAGTTGACCAATTTAGAGCACCCCAAATTAACTATTTCAACTATCTAAGAGATAACAATTCCTAGATTTGCCTCATCAATTTCAAATAAGCCCATAATACAAAACTGAATGAAACAATCTAGGTGACTTCTCTTGAATAAGATCTTTTAAACGATTACAATACAGATGGTTACTATGAATTAAAGAAAACTGTTACTTTAAGGAAAAAAATAAAGACTCTATAAACAGGTAACAAAATGAAGGATGACAACTAACCCTAAAAGTATCTTTACCTCTTCCTCAGGGGAAGGCAGATTTTTGAAAAGTGCCTCCCTTGGTTCAAGGTAAGAAAGTAAAAAATGTCTCCCCTAAGAATTCATAACTGCAAGCCAGCCCTCACGGGTTTGGAGCAGAAATTCACACTACTCGTATAATGGAAAAGACACACACGCCAAACTTATTTAAAATAATCTTAGGTTGTCAGAGTTCCCAGGCATCTGGTAATAACAAATATAAATGCTTTCTGAAAGAAGTTCTTTAAACTCTGACCTCAAAGAATTTTCAATGAGAAATAGGCTAACAATCTGATGGAAAAGACTTGCATAAACCTTACATATACATTTCCTAGAAAAGGAAATACAACTGACCAAAAATATACAAATAGGGGCCGGCCTGGTGGCGCAGCGGTTAAGTGCATGTGCTCCACTTCGGCAGCCCAGGGTTCGCCTGTTCAGATCCCAGGCACGCACCAACGCACAGCCTGTCTAAGCCATGCTGTGGCAGCAGCCCATATAAAGTAGAGGAAGATGGGCACAGATACTAGCCCAGGGCCAGTCTTCCTCAGCAAAAAGAGGAGGATTGGCATCGCATGTTAGCTCAGGGCTGATCTTCCTCACACACACACACACACAAAATACAAATAGATGCTCGAAGTCTTTGTATTGAGGGAAATGCAAAATAAAATGATGATATATTATTTTACATGTATCACATTGGAAAGCATAAAAACATTGGACAAAACAAGTTTGGGAGCAACAGTCACATTATTCGTTGCTGTGTGAACAAACTTTTGGGACTCCTCTCCCTGATCTCACAGGCGAATCTAACAAGTGAGCTGCACAGGCTTCAAGTCAGTACAAAAATCCATGCTGTACTGTGAAGCAGCCACATAGGCCACCTTAGGCCTGTGTTAGAGTGACTTTGCAACCTCACACATCATGACTGAAGACACCAGCTGGGGAGATCAACAACAGGAAAAGAAAAAGGGTACTCTGCTCTCACATTCCCCAGCTGCATTTCTTAGAGAATGATGAAAAAATAACGACCCTGGTCCTTGCCTCCCTCCACACATAGATAACATCAACATTGCAAACCTTGTTTGATGTGTAATCAAAAAGTTCTTGTTTATCTTATCTTTGAAGTATATGAATATTAGATGTGCAAGCACATCTTTCTTGCACATACACTTTCTTGCACATACACTGCTTTGTTAAAAAGTATATAAACTGCACTCAGATCTGTAGACCTCAGGGTAGTTCCTCAGAATACTCTCTTGGACTGTTGCCTGGGACTTGAGTTCCTCACTTTGATTACTGAATAAACTCCTTCATTTAACCTTTACTTAGACTCTACTTCAGTCGACAGCTGGTAAGACTGCAAACTGGTTTCAAAAACACTGGAATCATCCAGAAAAACTGAAGATGCACATATCCTATAACTAAGCAAATATACATCTTGGTATATACCCTAAGTCCTTGTTATTACTGCAGGAGACATTTACAAAAATATTTAAAATAGAGTTGTTCACAAAAGAAAAAAGATGGAAACAGCAAAACTGCCAATCTAGAGAAGAAAAGATAAATAATGATCTATTCTCTCAATTAAAAACTACACATTAGTGAAAATAAATGAACTAAAACTATACAGATCAGCACGTATGAATCAAATCAACATAATGTTGAGCACAGTATCAAATAAAAGAAAAAAGTTGACTCCATTCATATAAAATTCAAAACCTACAAAACTCCGTATTACTTATAAATATGTACATTTGAAGTGTAATTATAAAAAAAGAAGAGAATGAGAAATATAAAGTTGAGGAAGGAGGTGACCTCTGTCTGGGCTAGCTGGAATGTGATTACCGAGGGATTCACAGTGGACTTCAAAGGCTTTGGTAATGTTCTATTTTTGAAGTGGGTTGGTGGATACAATGGGTGTTCATTACTCTTATGCTTTAAGTTGAACATATAAACTATAAATTCTCAGGTATGTATGATATATAACAATAAACTCTTAAGAATAACCAATAGCAATATACATGTTCCTTTTTTTGACTCCTAAGTATATGTTCACCCTTCGTCTTTCTCACTTCTTAAATTCTGGCCTCAGTATTCTGTGATGACTACGATAAATAGGGAATAAATTACCGTGTTTCTGATTGGAATCTTCTTAGGTTCTGGAGGCATATCCTGTGGAACAAATTTCACTGGTTCCTTAATCTGCCTCCTTGATCGTTTGGTCCCATCGGGCAAGGTTTCCATGGCCATGTCTGCTTCCATGTCACTGCTCCCTGCCTGGTCACATTCTGAACACTGCCTACATAAAGAAAAAAACATAAGCTCATACATTTATTTTTACTTTCTAGCATTAGCTATGGTGTCTATAAATACAAAATTCAGGTATATGTGAAGAATATATAAAAATATACATGGGAATATGTGACCACAGAGTATACAATGACTATATATACAAAAGGTCACATACACTCCGATAAGAATGACAACAGTGAATATAATATATAAAGCAATTCCATATATTCCTATAAGTATCGTAAGAACATGTACAATAATGCTGCATGTTTAAGGGAACCAATGTAAGAGATTTAGCACTGATTAAAAAGGTAGCTTTCTTTGGAACTCATGACTTTTCCTTAAGAGACATACACTGTTTCACCTGAAATCAAAGTCATTCCTTGACCCTGACTTTACTCCTTGTCACAGCTATAATCTTTTAATCTTAGTTAAAGATAAGCCATGCTGAAGACACCAACTAAGAAAACTCTGTAGAAACAGACTCTAAGAAGTGTTGAAAAAAATAAATGAATCATTTTAATTGGTGGCCCACACTACTTATAAAAGAGGAAATATATATTTACTTATTAAAAGAATTGCTTAAGCAGCATTTTAAAAAATGGAGGAGGGGGAAGATGGCAGAGTAGAAAGCAACAGGACTCTGTCTCTCCTAGAAAACAACCGCACTGGCAGAATCTGTCTGATGTAACTTTCGGAACTCTGGAATCTATTGAAGGCTTGCAACTTGCAGGGAAAGGCTTGCACAGGTAAAATGCAATTAGTTTCAGTCAATTTCAGCTCTTAGTACAGTAGCAGCTACCCATCCCAAGCTATATGGCAGGCAGTTGTGCACACGGTCCTACAGTCGCTTGCACACAGCTGTTAAGTGCCAGTGTAGACAAAACAAACCCTTTCCTCCAAATACTGGGGATCTGTGCTCTGATTGCTGACTGCTGCTTCTGATCACAGAAGTGCAGACAAAGAGGTGGATGACCTCACTCTATTATTGCAACCCCCTCCCCCTCAGGCTGAAGAGACTTGCAGGACTTAAAAGACTGGCAGTCTTCATCCCTCACCTTCATTTTTCTCTTTTTCTCCTTTTGGGAGCAAGACATTAAAGACTAGAACATTCAAAAGTAAGTGCATATACAGGAAAAATTAGAAAGTGACTACTCCTACCCAGGGAAAGGCTCAGAAAAGATATGAGAAGACAGTAAGTTTACACCTCAGGCTGATCCTCAGCACGGATACAGCCTAGAACAATAACAAACAAACAAACAACAACAAAAATATGTAACAAAACACAGCAAACCCTTGGGATGGAGGAGAAGCTAATCTCTGCAGTTACCACATTATTAAATTCAAATGTCCAGTTTTTGACAAAAAAACACAGGACATACAAAGAAACAGGAAACTATGGCCCATTTAAGGAAAAAAAAGTTAAGTAACAGAAGCTATCCAGAAGATGACCTGATGGCAGATATACAAGACAAAGACTTAAAAATAACTGTTTTAAAGATGCTCAATGAACTAAAGGAGGTTGTGGAGAAAGTCAAGAAAATAACATATGAACCAAATGGAAATATCAATGAAGACAGAGAAAACCTAAAAATAAACCAAAAAGAAATTCTGGAGCTAAAAAGTACAATAACTAAAATGAAAAATTCATTAGTGTGATTAAAAGGCAAATTTGAGCAGGCAGAAGAATGAGCAAACTTGAAGATAGGACAGTGGAAATTATCAAGTCTGAGGAAGAGAAAGAAAAAAGACTGAAGAAAAGTGAACAGAGGCTAAGGGACACCTGGGACATCAACCAGCAAACTAACAGTCGCATTGCAGAAGTCCCAGAAGAAGAAAGAAAGGAGCAGAGACAATGTTTGAAGAAATAATGACTGAAAACTTCCCAAATTTGATGAAACAAATGAATATAAACATCCAAAATCTCAACAAACACCAAGTAAGATAAATTCAAAGAGTCTCACACCAAGTCACATTATAATCAAACTTTCCTAAGAGAAAGACACGGGATCTTGAAAGCAGAAAGAGAGAAGTTCAGAATCAACACACACAAGGGATCCTTAATATCAGCAGATTTCTCATCAGAAACTTTGGAGGCCAGAAGGCAATGGGTCAATATATTCAGTGTTAAAAAAAAAAAACAAAAAACTATCAACCTAGAATCCTATGTCCACCAAAACTGTGCTTCAAAAGTGAAAGAGAAATTAAGACAGTCCCAGACAAAAAAAAGCTGAGGAAGCTCATTATCACTAGACTTGTCCTGCAAGAAATGCTCAAGAGTCCTGCAGGGTGAAAAAAAGGACACTAGAGAGTAAGTAACTCAGAGCCATGTAAAGAAATAAAAGTCTCAATAAAGATTAATACATGGTCAATTATAAAAGCCAATATTACTGTAACAATGGATTGTAACTACACTTTTTGTTTTTCACATAAGAGACTAATATACATTGGAAAAAAAAATTTATTACCTAAAAGCTAGTGTTATTGTAACTTTGGCTTGTAAGTCCACATGTTGAAGGCAGATTTGAATAAACATTTCTCCAAAGAAGATACACAAATGGCTAACGGGCACATGAAAAGATGCTCAACATCACTAATTATTAAGGAAATGAAAATTAAAACTATTAGGATGACTACTATCAGAAAAAAAAAACAAAAAACAGAAAATAACAAGCGTTGACAAGGATGAGGAAAAACTGGAACCCTTGTGCACTATTGGTGGGAACATAAAATGATGGTACGGCCACTTTGGAAAACAGTATGGTGGTTCCTCAAAAAACTAAAAATAGAATTACCATATAACCCATCAATTCCACTTCTGGGTATATATCCAAAAGAACTGAAAGCAGAGTCTCGATGAGATATTTGTACACCCATGTTCACAGCAGCACTATTCACAAAAGCTAAAATGTGAGAGCAATCCAAGTGCCCACTGACAGATGAATGGATAAACAAAATATGGTATACACATACAATGGAATATTGTTTAGCTTTAAGAAAGAAGGAAATTCTGTAATATGCTACAACATGGATGAACCTTGAGGACATTATGCTGAGTGAAATAAGCCAGTCACAGAAAGACAAATACTGCATGATTCCATTTACATGAAGTACTTAAGAATAGTCAAAATCATGAGACAGAAAGTAGAACGGTGGTTGCCAGGGGCCGGAGGGAGGGAGGGAGGGAGGGAGGCATGAGGAGTTATTGTTTAATGGGTACAGAGTTTCAATTTTACAAGATGAAAAACGCTATAGAGATGGATGGTGGTGATGGCTGTACGCTATTAATGTATTTAATACCCCTGAACTATACTACTTAAAAGTGATTGAGAGGACAAATTTTATGTCATATGTATTTTGCCACAATAAAAATATTACTAATATGTTTTTTCAAATTTTAAGAGATTATTAAAACTGACACTTCAATCTAGACCAATGCTGTCCAATAGAACTTTATATGATGTTAGAATTATCGATATCTCCACTGTCCAATACAGTAGACCTTATATAGCCATTGAATACTTGTAATGTGGCTAATGTGACTGAAGAACTGATTTTTAAATTTAAATTTTAATTAACTTAAATTCAAATAGCCACACATGGCTAGTGGCTAACATCTGGACAGGAGGAGTCTACACAATGACTGTCGGAAATCTTTATATTGCCATTTAAAAACACCCATTTCAAAAAATTCATAACAAGTTGTTAGAAGTAAATTTTTTTCACATATTTTCTTCAAATTTAAAAGAATGATCAGAAAGTAATTCTCTGAAAGTCTAATTTATAGTATTTTCTTTATAAAAATGATTATAATGCATAAAATTATATCTGATATTTAGTTTACATACGTGTTTATATCAGTACCATTCTTGAATGCAACTTATAATTCTCTTAAGTATTTTCCAAGATCTCTTACCATTTGAATTCATGCTCCATCAAAATTCACATCACTCACTCATTAATAAACTTAATATCAAAGTAATTCTTATTTTTAAAAAGTAACAGCTTTAAATTTTGAACTCCAATAACAGCGTTAAATACAAAGTACCATTTGTGTTGCTAATACAAATACATTAATTGCTAAAATGCAAATTAATATTTAAGGTATTAATTTTAATATGTTAAATTTATTTAAGTAAAATTGTTGAATGAAAATGTTAACACTAAAAAAATTGGCCAGTAAGAGGAAAAAAAAGGGAGTAATTTATCATGTGGTACTTAAAAATTTTTACATGTCTACTGCCAGAACAACCAAGCTTTTATTCCTTCGATTCATAGATTACCATCAAAATAAAAATACAGCTAAAGTATAATACACTAAATTGCTCCTGTTTTGTCCCATGTGAAAAGGTAAAGGCTGGTATGAGAAGTGAACACCTGACGGATCCTTCTAATTGAAATAAGTATATTTTGAAATAATCTATTGGAAGTCTTAAATTGAGAAAACCCCACAAATGTTAGATATTACTAGCAAATAATAATAAACACAACAACCATCAAAACGGAAACGCCTATAGAAAGATATCAAATCATATCACATAAAAGAATCAGTTCCTTGCCTTTACAGCATGTAATCTTAACACTAAGTGATCATTTCTACCACTTGAAGTGAAATGTAGTCAGTTTCTCAGACAGTTCCAATTCACTTTTAACACACATGAATTTCTGGGATATAGAAACAAGTACCTTTTTAGGATGAATCACTGTTTTGTTTTTTGTTTTTTGTAATGAATTATTTCCCCCTTCGTTTCTCATTTTGTAACTATATCCCTTGTCAGGACATTCTCTAACTTCTCATGCTCATTTTCATCCCTACGAAAATACATTTAGGTGACACAGAAACTTGCTTTAGAGCACTCAGATAATAGAAATGTTATGCCCCAAATACATAAAACATTGAAGAACTCAGAAAATCAAAACAAAATGTAACTGCCAACGCAGAAATTTATCTATTCCTATCTCAAGATAACTACCACAGGGCACTTGCAGTACACGGAGTCAACACAG